CGCCCCGACCATCGAGGCAACGCCCGTGGCCGGGTACGACTGGGTGACGGGCTGGGCCCGCGAGTCGTTCCGATCGGCACGGATACGGAACGAGTGGGGGGCGAAGCCAGATTCGGGCTGACGGGTCCTTTGCACAGGGGGTCTCACACATGTGCGCAGCACTTCGTGCAGTCGTTCGTGCTGGATCGTGCTGGATGGAGGCAGAGTGCGTTGGGTTTGGCACTGTTGGTCCGTAAGGGAGGCTACGCCCCATAAACCACAGGATGAGCTATTGCACATTTTTCCGACCCATTAGGAAAGACCCCCTCTGCCCGGAACCAACGAAGGGTGGCAGCAGCTCCTGCCCAGTCGGAGCAGCAGAACTCGTCGTCGGCGTCGCCGCGGACGTTGTGTTGTCCCTTCGCGGCAAGAGTCGCCTGCCTAACAGCGGCCGCGGTCGGTTCTGGTGAACACTTGCAATTGGGCATGTTGTGTTTGTGTGTGTGTGTGTGCGTGCGTTTTCGTATCCCCTTCGGGCGTGCCAGGCGAGGATCGAGGGCCAAGAGCTTTGGGGGGGGGGGTGGGGCCAATCGGGGGGGGGGGGGGGTGGGGGTGGGTTGGGGGGGGGGGGGGGGGGGGCGGTGGGGGTGGGGGGGGGTGGTGGGGGTGGGGGGGGGGGGGGGGGGGGGGGTGGGTTGGGGGGTGGGGCCATTGGGGGTGGGTAGGGTGGGGGTGTGGGGGGTGGGGGGCCTTCTGGGTGGTGTGGTATGGCGGGGGCCATATCTGGTGGCCACGGCTGCTGACGGCCTTTTGACGTGCAAGAGAGGCGCCCCGGACCCCCCCCGGATCGGGGGGTGGGGAAAGGGGGAGCCAGGCTCTCGACGAGCGCCAGGGGCCCGAGCTCCCTTTTTGCCTTGCGCTGGGGCGCCGTCGTGGCCACGGCTGGCGCCGTTTCCGGCCGGGGCGCCCCCGGGATCGCCGGCGATGCTCCCCTCTCTCGACTGCCTACCAGGCCACCCCAACCCAACCCGAAGACCCGAACTTGTCCCGCATTTCGGGCTGGTGGGGGTACGGGTATACCGCGTGCTTTTTCAACGTTCCCCGACCCCCCCCACCGGAGATGTAAGGCAAATTGAGGGCTTCAGGTTGGGTTGGGGTGGTTTGGTGGGTGGTGATCTCTCCCCGAAGTGTTGATTTTCCCCTCCTCCATGCTGTTCTGGAGCCATTCCCAGCGGCGCCCTCCGGAGTTTTCTTGTCAGGATCGCGGTGGCGCCCCCTGCTTCTCCCCCGATTCCCGAGTTCCGCCCGAAGAGTTCGGTCGCTCCGGAAGAATCGCACCAGACGAAAGGGGGGGGGTAGGGAAAAGGGGGGGGGGGTACGAAGTCTGCTGCATGCAGCTGGTTTCCGCCCCACCGAGGGGCCCGTTCCTCGATGCGTGGCCGCCTCCCGGCGCCGGGAGGCGCCGGGAAAACCAGCTGCGTGAGCTGATTCTCAAGCCCCCCCTTTGCTAGCTAGCCCCCCCTTTCGCCCAACCCGAAAAAACGGGAGCAGCCCTGGGGCACGCCCTGTTGGGCCGTCTTGGGGCGGTCTTGGGGGCCTCTTGGAGCGTCTTCAACGCAGTGAAAGCCGAAGAGCCGTGTATGCAAAAGATGTACCTATTCCCATCGGAAATCCATGCTTGTGGCCTTTTGGTGGCCTCTTGGGACGCCTCTTGGGGGCCTCTTGGGGCTTCTTGGGGGGCTCCTATCGAGGGCCGGGCGCCCCCCCCCCTGTGTGTGTGCCCCAGGGCCGGGCCCCGGATCTCCTGGTCCGCTCGAAGACCCCACGAGGCCCGGGCCAGGGGTCGGCGTGCCCTTGTGGAGGGCGATCAGTGGAGAGGAAGCATGCTGCCAAATCATTTCCAGATGTCTAAAGCATGTTTCGAACATGCTTTGAATATGTAGAACAACAGGTTTGACACATGTTTGAGAACATGCTGTATACATTTTAAACCAATTTTTTCACTCAATGACAGGATTGTTGGAGTGTCCATTGTCATGGCATCCGCAAACGCACCCCCTGTCGCAGGGCATTCTGGGGGGGGGGGGTAGGGAGCGAGGGGGGGGGCGGGCGAGCTCCTGGGCCCCGAGCCCAGACCTCCGAAGCCGTGCCCGCAGCGTCGACGGCCGGCTCCTCCGCCGTCCTGGCCCCCGCGGGCCTGCTCCAGGCGCTGGGGCCGCCAACAAGCAGCGCGGGCTGAGGAACATGTCTATCGGGGACGAACGATGACATTGACATAAGTAAGAGCTCGGAGGTCCGCGCGGATTTCTCGAATCGGCGCTGGACCCCCATTCCCCCCGGCGCGCTGAGCGCGCCAGAGGGCGGCGCAAGCGGCGCCGCCAGGGGGGTCCAGCGCCAATGCGAGACATCCGCGCGGACCTCCGAGTTTTTATGTTTATGTCATTGTTCGTTCCCCTAGCTCAGGGGCAGCGATAGGGAGGGATGGACATAGGGGGGATGCATCGACCCCCAATCGCCCATTGATCGCCGATAGGGGCCCGATAGCCCCAACCTGCCCAGGAAGTTTCGGATTCACGATCGGAGGCCTATCGCCGATCTATCGGCGATGTATCGCCGATTCCAGGTCGATGCATCCCCCCCTGTGCCAGTCCCCCTCTATCGCTGCCCCTCACTAACGTTCCTGGACAGCGCGCGGCCTGTATCGGCAAACTGCAGTCACCCACTGCAGCGGCGAGCACAACTGTCAGCATCGCGGCGGCCATGTCGCACACGGGGCCACGCTGCCGTGTGCGGGGTGTCTCCTTGCCAGTCAGCACGCGGCCTCAGTCACGCAATGGTTGATGTCACAGTGCACATCGCTCTCATGTCGTCGCAAAGGAAACAGGGGGCCCGAGAGGTCCAGGGGTGCAGCGGCTCTGACAAGCTCGAGCCGCCAGAGGTCTTGGCGAGCCCCTGGGTCGGTGCACGCACCCTCCTGGCCGGGCCAGGTGGAGCTCCTGAGCGTGCCGCTCCCGGGCGCAGGGGCTGGCCCCCTCGTCAGGGACCCGTGCGGTCAGGAGCGGGTGCTCAGCATAACGCTCCTGCCGGCTCTGGCCCACCGCGCGGCGGCGCCACGCGCTCACCGCGCCCTGGACCCCCCGAGCGTCAGCGCCTCCTCGGCCTTTCGTGGCCTCCCCCTCCGTGAGGCGGAGCTTCGCGTTACCAGCCCGCAGGGCACGGCGTGTCGCCGAGGCCGCCGCGGCGACACGCCAAGCAAAAGCTTCCGACCGTGGGAGGAGGAGGGGGAGGAGGAGGAGTAGGAGGAGGAGGAGGAGGAGGAGGAGGAGGAGGAGGAGGAGGAGGAGGAGGAGGAGGAGGAGGAGGAGGAGGAGGAGGAGGAGGATTCGCTGGCATCCTCCCAGGTGATCGAGCAGCTGAACCACCACGGCTTCCCACGGACCCTGGTGGGGTGCACGCACAAGGGTTGCTGTGTTCGCCAGGGCTGGCCACCCTCCTGGCGGGGTCGGTCCCACACGACTTCCTCCCCATCCGCGGGGGAGAAGAAGGAGGAAGGGAGTTGTGGTGATGGTGGTGGTCGTGATGAGGGCGATGCTGCTGATGATGATGCTGGTGAAGATGATGGTGATGATGATGCTGATGCTGATGCTGCTGATGATGCTGATGCTGATGCTGATGATGCTGATGCTGATGCTGCTGTTGATGCTTATGCTGAACATGTTGACCATGCTGATGATGATGGTGGTGATGCTGATGCTGATGATGGTGGTAGTGAGGAGGAGGATGAGTATGCTGGTGCCGGTGGTGGTGATGCTAGTGATGGTGATGGGAATGGTGGTGCTGCTGCTGCTTCTGATGATGATGGGGATGTTGCTGCTACTGGTTGTGGTGGTTGGCGGCGGCGACGATCGTGATGATGAGATGACTGATAATTATGGTGATGACGATGATGGCGGTGGTCTGATGATGCCGATGGTTATGATGTTGATGTTGACGCGGAGGGTGATCATTATCAAGACGAGCGCTACACACAGGATGAACGATGATACTAATAGCAATGATTTTGAGAAGGAGGAGGAGGAGAAGGAGGAGGACCAGTGTAAACCCAAGACGCACCAACGATGCCACACTAATCCTTCCTTTCCAAGCGTCCTCTTCATAGGGTCATCCAATCATTTCTCATGGGATTTCAGCGCCGTGAATCAACGTGGCTGCTGCGTCTGGACAATCCTAAATCGTGCCCGAACGCCGTTCTTGAGACTTTAACACCGCGGATCAAAGTGGGTGGGTGGGTGTTGCGTCCAGACAACTCTGAATCGTGCCAGAAAGCCGGTCTTGGGACTTCAGTAATACGGACCCTTGAAACTGCTGTGACCGTTCAAGCCGAATGTGCGCGGCGCTAAAGAGGGAGCCATATCGCGAAGGCCTTACGGCCGGTGCCGCCGACCCTGAAGACGACGAAAATGAACACGAGGGGGAGAAGGAGCAGGATGAGGAGGAGGAGGAGGCAGAGGAGGAGCAAGAGGAGTGGGAGGAAGGGGAGGTGGAGGAGGAGGATGATAAGGAGGAGGAGGAGGAGGAGGAGGGGGAGGAGGAGGAGGAGGAGGACAGGACGAGGAGGAGGAGGAGGAGGAGGAGGAGGAGGAGGAGGGGGAGGAAGCTAAAGAAAGAGGAGGGAGGGAGGCAGAAGGAAAAACAGGAACAAGGATGGAGGAGGAACAGGATGAACAATACAGCAGGACAGGAATAGGAGAAAGGCAATACATGGAAATAGCATAGGAGGGCAGGGTTAAGGGAGACAGGATTAAGGGAACCATTACGATATCTACAGAGGAGAGGCGGTCAGATATAGGAGGAGGAGGAGGAGGAGGAGGAGGAGGAGAGCCATATTTTGAAAAGGAGCCGCCATCCATCCTTGAGGCTGTTGCACACGCTTCGGACGAATGTGCGCGACGCTACGGTGAGAGCCGCATTTCGAAAGCGGCCCGCCCTGCGTCCGTCAACTGCTGCGAAAACGTTCCCGAACCGATCTTCACGGCGCGCTGAAGCGAGAGCCACACTTTGAACATTGCCCTCCTGTCATCCGCGGCATTACTGCAGTCTGTTGAAACGAGTGTTTGCGGCGCGTAGAGCGAGAGTCACTTTTTGAGCACAGCCCGCCCTTCACCCGTGAACATGCTGCAAGCTAAAGACGATTGTGCACGGCTCCAGGGCGATGGCCGCATTTCGAGAACCATCCGCTCTCCATCCGTGAAGCTGGTGCAAGTTTCAAGCTCATTTTTCCGCGTCTGGGGGTGCGACAGGGATAAGCCATTTTCACAGAAACGGGAATGATGATGATGATGGTGATGCTGATGATGATGATGATGATGATGATGCTGATGCTGATGCTGCTGATGATGATGATGATGATGGTGCTGCTGCTGATGATGCTGATGATGAGGATGATGCTGCTGCTGCAGATGATGATGGTGATGATGATGATGATGATGATGATGATGATGATGATGATGATGATGATGATGATGGTGGTGGTGATCATGCTGCTGATGATGATGATGATGATGATGATGATAATCATGCTGATGATGGTGCTGCTGCTGCTGATGATGATGATGGTGGTGATGATGTTGATGATGATGATGACGAGGAGGAGGGGGAGGAGGAGGAGGAGGAGGCCGAGGATGATGAGGAGGGCCGATGATGATGCTGATGATGATGATGATGATGAGATTGAGATTGATGATGATGATGAGGATGATGAGCTGATGTGATGATGATTGATAATGATGAGATGATGATGATGATGATGGATGATGATGATGATGATGATGATGATGATGATGATGATGAGATGATGATGCATGTGCTGAGCGATGCTGATGATGATGTGATGATGATGATGAATGATGATGATGATGATGAGGAGGGGAGGAGGAGGAGGAGGAGGAGGAGGAGGAGGAGAGGAGGAGAGGAGGAGGAGGAGGAGCTGCCAGGAGGAGGAGGAGGAGGAGGAGGAGGAGGGAGGAGGAGGAGAGAGGAGGAGGAGGAGGATTGGGAGGAGGAGGAGGAGGAGGGAGCAGGAGGAGGAGGAGGAGGAGGAGGAGGCCCAGGAGGAGCAGGAGAAGGAGGAGGAGGAGGAGGAGGAGGAGGAGGAGGAGGAGGAGGAGCAGGAGGAGGAGGAAGAGGATGATGATACTGTCTGACGGTTCCGGCCCTGGTTGGGGCCTCCACGGGCGGCACCCGGATGCCGACGGTTTCGAACACTTGCCGCCTCTTTTGGTTTTTATCGTTGGTTTTTTGTTGTGCGCCTCTGGTTCCTGCCGGTATGGGTCTGGGCCTTTCGGAGAGCTCTGGCGCCCCCCCCCTGCCTTCTAGGAGCCCAGACCCCCTCGAGTCATGAAAAAATCACGACGGGAGGTTTTTCGCTATTTTCGGCCTCCAGGGGCCCTTATCGGCCCTCAGGATCGTCAAAAAACGACTCAGGATGAAAAGCCGGTCCCAGGGAATGGGTCCGGACCTCTGGTGGCCGCGCCATGAAAAAATCACGACGTCGGGGGTCTTGGAGGCGGGAGGCCTCAGAACGCGGCCCCCGGAAGAGGAATCAGCGGCCCAAGCCTGCAGTCAACGCGCCTGGTCGGGACGCGCGCCGTCGTGTCCTTGCCCCTGCGGTCCGCCTTTTTAGGGGGCCACGTGCGAACCCTACCCCTGCCCCCCACGATTTCTGAGGGGAGGGTGGGGTTCACTTCGCTCGGGAGCTCCCGAGCGAAGTGAACCCCACCTTCCCCCCCAGAAATCGTGGGGGGCAGGGGTAGGGTTCGCACGTGGCCCCCTATTCGTGTCCCTGCCCCTGCGGTCCGCCTTTTGCCGTTTGCACTGGTCGCCCGCCGCCCCAAGAATTCCAACTGCGGCCTCCTAGGGCCTTGCGCCCTTGCCACCCGTCCTTGCTTGATTCAGGAGGAAAATAACACACACAGGCGAAATGAATCCTCGATTCCCCACAAATATGGGAAAATATGGGAAGTGGGGGGGAAGACAGAAACCCAGAGAATATAGGAAAATATAGGGAATCCAGTTATTTGTGTGCATGTAATTGTGTGTCCCAGGGCCCCTTCATTGATGCACGTACTTCCTGAGGAACCGGTAGATTTTTCTTGGGTCGGCGCGGGACCCCCCTCCCAACACGCATCGTGACCCTCAGCCCAGACATCCGATGTGTTCTTTCACCCCGCCGGCGCCCCGCCCACACCTCGACCGCTTCCTGGGGGTCAGCTCTTCGTCCTGGGCAGTTCTGTTGACCAGCCCTGGGCCCGCAAACGGACCCTGGAGGCCGAAAGCGAGCACGAATGGATGGGAGCGAAAGAATGCCGTCCCGCTCCGACGTCTCGATGGTTTTGGGTCTCCAGGCCCTGGCCCATCTCGACCCCTTCCCCTGGGCCGGAGCTCCATCCCGGGCAATTCGGTTGCCGGCCAGGGGCCCGGAAACGGCCCCCAGGGGCTGACAGCGAAGACGGTCTTGAGGCTCGACGTCGTCGAGTCGCTGGGCGTCTGCGGCCAGGAACGTGTCGCTCCGCCAGTTCTGGCACACCCGCGCTTCGGCGCGACACGCTATCCACGTCCCAGTCCCCAAGCGGCAACGTCCCGAACTGTTCCCAGCCTCCCGCCCCGCGGAGCGGAGCGACACCCCGCTATCAGCTTGCAAGGGATAGCGTACCGCCGTGGCCGCCGCCGCGGCACGCCAAGCAAAATGTCCCGACAATAGGCGTCCTCCCTCCTCCTCCTCCTCGACCTCCCTCCTCGACCTCCTCGATCTACTCCTCCGCCTCTCTCCTCCTCTTCCTCCTCCACCTCCTCCTCCTCCTCGTCCTCCTCCTTCCTCCTCCTCCTCCTCCTCCTCCTCGTCCTCCTCGTCCTCCTCGTTCCTTCCTCAATCCCCATCCCTCCTCCTTCCTTCCCTACTCCTCCTCACGCACTCCTGACTCCTCCTCCCTCCTCCTCCCCCTCCCTCCCCCCCCGCCTCACCCCTCCTCACTCCTCCCCCTCTCCTCCTCCATCCTCCTCCTCCTCACACAGCTCCTTCATCCTCCTCCCATCATCCTCATCCCTCCTCCTCCCCTCCTCCCTCCTCCCCTCCTCACTTCCTCCCTCCCCTCCTACATCCCTCATCCCTCCTCCCTCCTCCATCCCTTTCCCTCCTCCCTCCTCCCTCCTCCCTCCTCCCTCCTCCTCCTCCTCCTCCTTCTTCTCCTCCTCCTGATCTTTCCTTGCGGTCCGCCCAGGATAGGTTCCGAGCTCGAGATCGCGAAGGCCAACCACTTCCTCCGCCGCAAGCAGTTCGACGCGGCGGTCGCAGTGCTGAAGAAGTTTGAGCGCAAGGAGCGGAAAAGGCGGCGAGTGAGGGAGCCCGCGGCGAGCGAGGGGGGAAAGTTTCGAGTTCTAGGTTCGAGGTGTTCGTTCGGACGTGTTCGTCAGTTCTCGACGGTTTTTCCATTCTCGGGATGCGTTCCAGCGGCTGCGCCTCGGCGAGAGCGTTCCCGGGGTGCCGGGATCGTCCCGAACGGCCGCCAGAGAGCCGAGGTGTGACCACCCGAAAACACCAGGCGTCCGAGAAGGAGAAGGCCTTCTCAGAAGGAGGCGGGACTTCTCAGGAGGCCTCGCGCCTTCTGAGAAGCTCTTTTTGCCTTCGGGGGAGGCTTAGACAACTTCTCAGAAGGCCGTGGCCCTTCCGAACCTTCTGCAAATGCCTTCTCCTTCTCATTTCCCCTCCTCGCTCGCCGCCGAGGGAGGGGGATCGAGGATCGAGTTCTGAGGATCCAGGCTCGAGGATCGACGATGTCTGGTGGTGCTCTTCGGCGTCTCTGGGCCGCCTCGTCGCCGCAGCTGGAGCCGCTGCGAGGCCCCGCCTCGAGGCTCCTGGCCCAAAAGCGCACCCCACGTAGGGGAGGCCCGCAGAGTAAGGATAGGCACCCCTCCCAAGGGTACTCTTGCATCCTTGCTTCCTGGGTCCATCCTTGGACACTTTCGTTGGCCGCGCCCCGCTCGAAAAGCTTCGAAATGGGCTTCCTTCGAGGGAGAACCAGGCTTTCGCGGGCGGAGCCGCGAGGGGCAGATGCCCAGAGGTCGGACGTTGCGAGAAAAGAGGCCGCACCGCGAGGCATGACTGCCAAGAGCACTGGGGCCCATCCGTCTGCGGCGGTTCTCGAGCGGGATCGATCTGTGATGGCTCCTCCCCCTCCTCCTCCTCCTCCTCCTCCTCCTCCTCCTCCTCCTCCTCCTCCTCCTCCTCCTCCTCCTCCTCCTCCTCCTCGCTCCTCGCTCGCGAGACGCGAGCCAGATCTTCGGGGGGCCCCCGCCAGGCCCCAGGGTAACAAGCGTCCGCGAGTCGCCTCGGGAGGAGACGCCGCCAGTCCCGGGAAGGGGCCGAGGCCTCTCAGAGCAGAGCGCCCGGGGAAGAGCACATAATGCGGGATGACGATTAATAAACAAAATGGGGGGGAACGATTAAAACATATAGTTTTCTGTTATTTCTACACAGTTTTCTGACTGGAGGAGAACGATTGAAAAGAAATAGTTTTCCAGCCCGCGGCCGGTTTTTTCTAATCGTCATCCCGGGTGCCGCCGCGTGAACACGACCCCTGGTCATTTATTAATCGTCATCCTCTATTACAGATAGACGTTTTTTTGTCAGCGGCGAGGCGGCGAACTCCGCTCCAGCGAGAACTAGGTAGGGGCACCAACTAGCGAATTGGCCGGCGAGCAGAAGGGGGGGGGGGGACGGCCGAGCGCAAGACGGGGCGCTCAGACGCCGAAGAGTCCGACGATGAGCAGCCCGGGGGGCAGCAGCAGCCAGGCGCGCAGGGCCAGAGCGCGGTGGGTGGCCGTGGCGAACCACGGTGGCCAGGGCGGCGGGGAGCGGTAGCCAGCGGCTGGGGCTGGCGAGGGGCACAGTGAGACACCGCGAACAACGCACCGAAATATAGATGGACACGCGCTCCGGGATTCTTTCTATGGTTTTCCTATGTGGGGATGTTCGTCTGCCCCACCATGACCATTTTTGTCCATACCCCTGGGGTTCGAACTGTATTACTGTCCGTGTTTCTCTTGCCCTCTTGGAAAGAGGCCTCCACAGTCCTCGGCCTCCAGGAGCCCCTGGAGACCCTCAGGATACCTGTAGAGACGTCCATCAAAGACAACACTTAAGTGTGGGGGGCTAGGCTCAGGGGGGGTGCGACATCAGAGAAGGTTCTCCCAGGTTCGACGTTTTTGTTAAACAAATATAAAACAAAACTTCCATCAGTTCTCGGCGGCCTTCCAGCCTCGAGACGTGGGCCACCAGCTGCGGCTCTCCGAGGGCGTTCCGAGGGTGCCCAGGTCGTTCCGGACGGCCGCCACGGCCCAGAGTTATGACCAGAAGAAGGCAAGAGGGGGCGACGCGAGGGGGGGAGAGGGGGGGATGCACGGACCCCCGTCGCCCAGTCATCCCAGATAGGGGCCTTCAGCTCACCCCGCCCAGGAACCATTCGCTGAGGGATGCTTGTCGCCGACCTATCGGCCACGTTTGACTGAGTCTGGCTCAACAGTTCTCCCCCCGAGCCGGTCCTTCCCCCCTTATCGTTGCCCTTCAGTCCAGGGGTCTTCAAGGGCCTCAGGGACTCAGAGCGTCTGTGAAGACCTTGCCGACTCATCAAGACACTGTCGCCCCGTCGAGCTTTCTGTTCAGGCGTCCAGCTTCGAATTCGGGATCTCCAGGGGGTTCGGGAATCGAGAGCTTCTTTGCAAAACCTGCCAACCCATCAATGTCCTGACACCTCATCAAGCTTTATGCTCAGGCATCCAGCCAGGGCTGGACCTAAGCGCTGTTTTGCTGGACTCCCGCTGTGTTTGTTCCCTACCTAGGCTCTGCCTAGAAGGGTTCTTGCTCTTTTAGCTTAAAGGGGCCGGGCAGTGCAAAGCGCCCCGGGCGGTTCCCCCAGTCCCCTGGGAGCGGTTCCCCCCAGTCCCCTGGGAGCTTTAGCTTTAGCTTTAGCTTTAGCTTAGCTTGAGCTTAGCTTGAGCTTAGCTGTAGCTTAGCTGTAGCTTAGCTTTAGCTTAGCGTTCCGCTTAGCTTTTCGCTTAGCGTTTAGCTTAGCTTTAGCTTATCTTGAGCTTAGCTTGAGCTTAGCTTGAGTTTAGCTATAGCTTAGCTGTAGCTTTAGCTGTATCTTAGCTTTAGCTTAGATTAGCTTAGCTTTAGCTTAGCTTCAGCTTAGCTCCAGCTTAGCTTTAGCTTAGCTGCAGCTTAGCTTTATCCTAGCTGCTGCTCAGCTTTAGCTTAGCTTTAGTTTAGCTTTAGCTTAGCTTTAGCTTAGTTTTAGCTTAGCTTCAGCTTAGCTTTAGCTTAGCTTTAGCTTAACTTTAGCTTAGCTGTGGCTTAGCTTTAGCTTTAGCTTAGCTTTAGCTTAGCTTTAGCTTAGCTTTAGCTTAGCGTTACTGTTACTACTAATGCTGCTTTCCTAGGGGTTCCAAGTCCTAGGTAGGGTCGCACTGGGATAATTGTTTTTTGTTTTGGCAGAGACGTACAGGAACACAGGTAAAGCAAGACGAACAACAAAACGAGCACAAAACGAGCAACGACGTTTAGGTCCAGCCCTGCATCCAGCCTTGAATGAGGGGTCCTTGAACGTGGGGGGCGTGTGGGCTTTTCCACGAAGAAAGGAGCCCTCCCTGATGGCCTGCGCCGCCACGAACCTGTCCTTCCTTTACTTCCTGGAGGCCGAGCACGGCAGCGCGGAGAAATACGCCGACATGGCCGTGAAGGCCGACCGCTATAACGCGCGCGCGCTCGTGAACAAAGGCAACTGCATGTTCTACAACGAGGAGTTCGAGCGAGCGAAGGATCGGATGCTCATTTGGGGGGCCTTCCTAGGACCCACCTTGCAGATCTGTTCGACTCGACTTCTACCCCTCTTCGGCCCAAGTTCGACTCAAGTTCGACTCAGGTTCGACTCAGGTTCGACTCAAGTTCGTTTCAAGGTCAATTCGAATCGACGGACGTTCGACGCAGCTCCGACGCATGAGAAGGAGATCGAAGAAGAACAAACGGCATAAGCAGAAACTTTTGGCGCTCCGCGCGGATATTTCTCGGATCCGCGCCGGGCCCCCCCCGGCGGTGTTTCCGGGGCCGCCGCGGCGCGCTCCGCGTGTCAGGGAGGGGGGTCCAGCGCAGATCCAAGAAATCCGCGCGGAGCGCCCAAAGTTTATGTTTATGCCGTTTTTTCCTCTACTAGGAGATCTACCTGGAGGCCATCGGTGTCAGCGCGGACTGCCTCGAGGCCATCTACAATCTCGGCCTCGTCAACATGCACGTCGGCAGATACCAGGACTTGTTTTTTTGGGAAAGCGCCCACCACCCGCCCTCCTCACGCCCACCTTGCTCCTAGCTACTCTGTGGGCATCAGCTCCCGCCAGGGCCTTGGCAGGCCGACCCCACCAGGGCACCAGCTATTCGACGTCGCTCTCTCTTTTTTTGCTTTGTTTTGTTTTGTTTTGTTTTATTTGTGCTTCTCGTTTTGTTTTGTTTTATTGTGTTGTGGTTTGTCTTGTTTGTTGTCGACGCAGATCCCCAGAGGTCTGCAGATTCTGATTGCCCCTGGGCCTGGTGTTTGGGCCTCGGAGGCCGAGGACCGCCGAGCGCCCCCCGACGTGAGCTCTCCGCAGCGAGAGGAGGTGGGGGGCCTGGACGCCCAAACGCTCGGAGGGGCTCAATTAGGGGAACAAGAAGTGACATAAACATAAAACTCGGAAGTCCGCGCGGATTTCTCGGATCGGCGCTGGGGCCCCCCGGCGGCGCCTCCGGCGCCGCCCCTGGCGCGCTCCGCGCGCCAGGGAGGGGGGGGTCCAGCGCCGATCCGAGAAATCCGCGCGGACCTCCGAGTTTTTATGTTTATGCCACTTCTTGTTCCTTTATTGATGTATACACTACGACATGTGGCCCGTCCTCGAGCCAAGGAGTCCAGCGAAGGACTTCGGTGTGCAGATGTTCCAGCGCCCCACAGGTTGGGGAGCTGGGGCACCTGAACTGGCCGACCCCGACGTCGTGGCGTATGCACTGAGCCTCCCCCCTCCCCAAGACGGGCCCGTGAGCACCTGAGCGACGGAAGCGATCGGAACCGACAGCGCCGACATTCGCGCGTGAGCTTCCCGCGCAAGGTCTCGCACAAGGCGCCCTCTCCTCCCCACGCGGTGCGCCACGCGGGCGGCCCGCGCCAGCCGCGGCGCGAGGTCGCGACGTCTTCTCGTGCAGGATCCGTTTTGTTGTTGTTGTTGTTGTGGTTGTTGTTGTTATTGTTGGTGTTGTTGTTGTTGTTGTTGTTGTTGTTGTGGTTGTTGTTGTTGTTGTTGTGGTCGTTGTGGTTGTGGTTGTGGCTGTGGTTGTGGTTGTGGTTGTGGTTGTGGTTGTGGTTGTGGTTGTGGTTGTGGTTGTGGTTGTGGTTGTGGTTGTGGTTGTGGTTGTGGTTGTGGTTGTTTTTGTTGTTGTTGTTGTTGTTGTTGTTGAACAATAATTATTCTAAAGAATAATTATTGTTGGGCCCCCTGGTGCGCGCCCCCCCTGCGCCGCCTAGGCCGCAGCTACATTTTCATCATTTTCGTGAGGAAGCCTCAGAAAAGAGGGTGTGGACAGGATCCGGTTGTTTTGTTGTAATCCGCTTTCCCTTGCAAAAAACAATAGAAAATGACATTTCTTGTTCTAATATAATCAAATTTCAAGAATCCCTTGCAAAAAACAAGGTAAAGTGGACATTCGCGCGCGCAAGACGAAATCCTTCCAAAACCTTAGTGTTCGCAGCGATTTTAACATAAAAACATAAAAAAAAAAACCAATGGTTTTTCTACAAAAAATTGTCAAAATCTCACCCCGCGCGCTCTTGCGGATTCGTAGGAAACCCAACACTTTTTAAACATTTCTGTCAAACGGGCTTTTGCGAGCAACTTTTTCGAACTTCTGCAACAACGGTTGCGCACCTGCCAGGGCCATCATCCCTGTCAAATAATACCATGCGGGACACATTCGTTTTTTCTTCGCGCGCGCACGCCGTCGTCGTCGGCCGCGGGGCCCTGAATAGTAGCCACGGTCGTCCGCATGCCACGAAGTGAAGTGTCCGAACGTCATAGGGCGGGAAGCTGGGTGTGGGTGGTGGCGAAGAGTCGTTTGGAAATTTGGTAGAGCTTGAACCGGCCCCCCCACAAAGTGGGGGTATTGCCCGCCTCCTATGAAAACCCTGGCACTGGTGAGAACGGAGTGTCCCCACGTGCTAGTAATTGTTGTTGTTGCTGTTGTTGTTGTTGTTGTTGTTGTTGTTGTTGTTGTTGTTGTTTTTTTCCGTCGCTCACCTGCTGGCGGTGGGCCTCGCCTCTGCCCTGCCTCCCTCTCCGCACAGGAGGCGCTGCTGGCGTTCGACAAGCTGCACTCCATCCCCGGGGGGGCCGCGGGCCCCGGCGGGGAGGTGCCCGCGGCACCCCCCCGCCGGCGCCCGCCGAGGGGGAGCGCCCGGGAGTCGCGCGTGCCCCCCCGCGGGCGCCCGGGAGTCGCGCGCGTGCCCCCGGAGCTCCGACGCTGTGGTTTGTGGCGCTCTTGTCCGCGTGATGTCGACGGGTTTCTGATGCTCACAGCCTACAGTGCCGTTTTTGATACATGCTCCGCGTGCGGATCATGTATTAAAAGTGCAGGGATTTAGTAGTAACAACAAAAATGAGCTCATGCACGACATTATCCATAAATCAATCATGTAGTACAAATCCCATCTGTTCCCTACCTAGGCTCTGCCTAGAAGGTTTCTTACCCTGCATGCTTAAGGGGCCGGGCAGTGTAACACGCTCCGGGCGGTTCCCCCGGCATCCGCCCCGCGGTTCCCCCAGTCCCCTGGGAGTTTTGGCTTTAGCTTTAGCTTTAGCTTTAGCTTTATCTTAGCTTTAGCTTAGCTTTAGCTTAGCTTTAGCTTAGCTTTACCTTAGCTCCAGCTTAGCTCCAGCTTAGCTTCAGCTTAGCTTTAGCTTAGCTCCAGCTTAGCTTTAGCTTAGCTTCAGCTTAGATGTGACTTATATTTAGCTTATATTTAGCTTAACTTGATCTTAGCTTTAGCTTAGCTTTAGCTTAGCTGTAGCTTAGCTTTAGCTTAGCTTTAGTTTAGCTTTAGCTTAGCTTAGCTTTAGCTTTGTTTTAGCTTAGCTTTAACTTTGTTTTAGCCTAGCTTTAGCTTAGCTTTAGCTTAGCTTTAGCTTAGCTTTAGCTCCTCCTCCTTCTCCTCCTCCTCCTCCTCCTCCTCCTCCATCCTCCCCCCCCTTCTCCTCCCCCCTTCTCCTCCCCCTCCTCCCCCTCCCCCCTCCTCCTCCTCCGAAGCGCAGACCCCGCCCTCGGGAGCCCGCGCGTCGGCTCCGGTCGCGGCCGCTGCCGCCCCCGGCCCCTGGGTGGAGCCTCCGGCGGCCGCGCCGCGCTTCCGGCACCGCTCGAGGAAGCGGAAGCGCGGCTGAGGGCGCCACACGCGAACCCTGCCCCTGCCCCCCCCGCGCCCTGTCTCCCCGATTAGGGCTTCGCGCGCCCCGCCCAGCTCTTAACCGGAAGGGTCCCGCTCCCGACCCGCCGACCAAAAAGTGTGCTCGTTCCCCTCCCGAAGAAGGCGGGAGGCGGCAGAGCCGCGGCCCCAGGGCACGCGCACGGCGCGGCACCTCGGGCTGTGCACGCCCTCCCTCATAGGAGGCAACTACTCGGAGGCCTTCGCCGGAAGGATTCACAGGGGGCCACGTGCGAGCCCTCCCCCTCAGAAACCGTGGGGGGTAGGGGTAGGGTTCGCATGTGGCCCCCTGGCGGATGAGGGCGCGTGGATCAGCGACGGCTCCCGCCTCCGTGCGCGAAGCCGACGCGCTCCGCCGCCGCATCGGGCGGCACTGGCCTCACGTGTCCGGGGCATTGGCCTTCCCCGATCCCGCGGACCCGGCGCCCGTGCGCCGGGTCCACGGATCCGCAGTCTCGCGCAGAGGGCGCCCCGCCCCTTGGGCCCCCCCGTCGTCACCCACGTGAACTGCGAGGTCATGTGGCAGCTCGGCGACATCCACGAGAAGCTGGGCAACACCGGGAGCCTCGGAGAAGGGGGGTCGGCTCTGCAGGAGGAGGGAGGGTGACGGTGATGGTGGTGGTGGTGGTGGTGGTGGTGGAGAGGTGATGTTGTCGTGATTGTTGTTGTTGTTGTTGTTGTTGTTGTTGTTGTTGTTGTTGTTGTTGTTGTTGTTGTTGTTTGTTGAACATTATTTATTCTAAAGAATAATTATTGTTGGGCCCCCTGGTGCGCGCCCCCCCTGCGCCGCCTAGGCCGCAGCTACATTTTCATCAATTTCGTGAGGAAGCCTCAGAAAAGAGGGTGTGTACAGGATCCGGTTGTTTTGTTGTACTCCGCTTTCCCTTGCAAAAAAACAATACAAAAAATGACATTTCTTGTTCTAATATAATCAAATTTCAAGAATCCCTTACAAAAAATAAGGTAAAGTGGACATTCGCGCGCGCAAGACGAAATCCTTCCAAAACCTTAGTGTTCGCAGCGATTTTAACATAAAAACATAAAAAAAACAATGGTTTTTCAACAAAAAATTGTCAAAATCTCATCCCGCGCGCTCTTGCGGATTCGTAGGAAACCCAACACTTTTTAAACATTTCTGTCAAACGGGCTTTTGCGAGCAACTTTTTCGAACTTCTGCAACAACGGTTGCGCACCTGCCAGGCCATCATCCCTGTCAAATAATACCATGCGGGACACATTCGTTTTTTCTTCGCGCGCGCACGCCGTCGTCGTCGGCCGCGGGGCCCTGAATAGTAGCCACGGTCGTCCGCATGCCACGAAGTGAAGTGTCCGAACGTCATAGGGCGGAAAGCTGGGTGTGGGTGGTGGCGAAGAGTCGTTTGGAAATTTGGTAGAGCTTGAACCGGCCCCCCCACAAAGTGGGGGTATTGCCCGCCTCCTATGAAAACCCTGGCACTGGTGAGAACGGAGTGTCCCCACGTGCTAGTTATTGTTGTTGTAGTTGTTGTGTTGTTGTGTTGT